AACTCGGAGAAACAATGATGGGACCCTCAGGGTCCACATTTATAAAATAATAATATCAGTGTACCCTCTGCAGATGTTCAGGCAGAAATAGGAGTGTCAGGTATGCATGCAAAACACAGTGCCGAGGAGGCAGAAGAAATCAGAATAAACACTGCTTTCATCTCTCATCAAGTAAGATCAATAAGGAAAAGAACAACAAAACTCTAATACCAAAGCCTACGAGTCAGGTAAAATGTGTTTTTCTTGCTTCTTGACTTCTTCTCCGATACCAAATAAATTCATACTCTCATTCCAATATCCAGTTCCGAGGCAGGGAAACTGAATATGCTCCTTCCTACAAAATGTTTTTAACAGAATAGTTGATTCAATTGTTTCCTCTCACAACTATGTAGACCCAATTCCACTGAGTTCAAACATTTTACGTTCCTTTGATATTTCCCTTTGATGATAATCGATTTGCTTTAAAAACAACAAAAAGAAAAGGTTTCATCAGGAAGCATCTATTAGCTCTTAAGTTTTATTTTTGAAGTCCTAAAAGTGTCACCACGTATTGTCAATGTGCATTAAGTGAGACTGTGCATTTGTGATGGCCATCCCTGTAAACATAGTTGGTAATTAGTCACAACATGGATTCGATGTTCTCAAGCAAAGCAGGAGACCCAGACTCTTTCATCTTCTAATTTTCTTCCAGCACATGACTCAGGTTTCACCAATGAGATGCAATCTCAAGAAACTAGAATTCCAGACTCAGAGAATGCTCTTCCAGCTCCAAATGATGGTGGCACAGTCCCTGCCTGGTAAACTTGGCTAAGCCTAAGGGCAGAAAGGGTCTTCATAGGATTATTCCTGGCTATGAAGAGTAGTGTCCAGCAAACAAAAAGCTCCGGAGGAAAGATCTGAAGACTTGATATGAAAATCAGCTCAGATTTTGGAACTCTCCTTGGACATGTCATATATTGATTACTTATGAAATATTTTGTCAAAACTGTATTCAAGGGGTAACCAAAAACATTTGTGTACTGTCAAAAAATTCCGTGAATAATCTGAGATACTAAAGAAGAGATCAGAAATCAGTTTGTACAGTAAGCTCTTGTGATGGCTCTTCTTGGTTGTCTACTTGACTACATCTGGAATTAACTAAAACCCAAGAGGCTGGAAACATCTGCAAGGGATTATTTCTTAATTAAATCATTTGAATTGGAAAATCCACTTTTAATTCAGATCTTCTGAGGTGGGAAGAAGATCCACCTTTAATCTGGACCACACCTTCTCTGGTGGCCTATATAAAGGGCATGGAAGAAGGAAGCATGTTGTCTTTGCCTGCTTTCTCTGGCTGGCAAATCCATTCCATCACCAGCATTAGAGCCTACTTCTTTGGGATTTTTGTGTATACTGAAGACCAGATGAGACATCCTGTCTTGTGATCTGAACACCTACTGGATTCTTGGATTTTTCCCTTGGTAGATAGCCATTCTTGGACTATCTGGACCACAGACTAGAAGCCAGTCTAAAACTCGTGTGTGTGTGTGTGTGTGTGTGTGTGTGTGTGTGTGTGTGTGTACATCTCTGTTCTTTTAGCGAATCTCATCTAGATTAGCACACAACAAAACTTGCATTTCAATGAGTTGAAAAACAGGAAAAGCTACACAAAATATTCCCAGAAGTTTCTACTAGTTCAGTGGAATGTGGTTAGGCTGCTATATATATAGTCTCAAATGTAATCAGTCCAAGAAGGTGTTGAGTACAGAAAAGGAATACAGAAAAGGGGAAGACTGAAGATAAAAATTCCCACAATGCTGATATGCAAAAATGCTGTAAGCAAAACTTTCCATTGGTTCCAGCTTGGTAACAAAGAAAAACCTGCATGTGATATACACATAAAATATGTATGTGTGTTATAATAGTCCTATAGTGAGTTTCCATTGATGGGCTTTGAATCCCAGGTAGTGATTTTCTATGTGGCCAAGTGTCTTGTTGATGAGAGCATTTATGATGAGTAAGATGATTTAACCTATACCCTCTCCCATCCCTACAATTGCTTACTGTGACTAAGAGCCAAGCACACAGAGCTCTCTATCATATCAGCACATAACTTCATCCTCAAATTAAGATGCCTTTAAAAAATCATTTATCACCCTTACATCGAAGATGCTTATATTGGGTATAGTCTAATTCATAAGCATACTGACAACTAATTGATTTTGGATCTTAATTGCATATGCCACTTTTCATTGATTTTCTTAGAAACAGGGTCTCATCTGGCTCGGGCTGGCATTGAACTCCAAATGAAGGCAAGGATAACCTTCAACTTCTGATCTTCCTGTCTCCACCTCCAGAGTGCTGAGATAATAGGCATTCACCAATATCCCTTGCTTTTATGAAGTCTGTGGGACTGAATCAAGGACTTTGACAAGCACATTATCACATCCCCAACCTAAATTTCAGATTTCTTGGGCTCACCCAGTAAAAACTACTTTTGGACTGCTAGGATTAATCCATAATGAGTTTATTTAACAGAAATTCAATCATGTCTACATACTCCTTGAACCAAGGTATTTAAAAACTGTAAAAAAAAAAAACCAAGAAAGAGGACAATAAGATATAGTTTTAATACAATATAATATCGATCATAATTGTTGCTTTAAGTATCAGTTTCTTTGGGAGTCAATCATAAATGGATTAGGTAGCTAGAAAAGCACCACACCAGGGAAAATGATGATGCTGAGACTCATGACAGAACTGCATCTTGATTCTAGTGCTGGGCACGCATACCTACACATGATAAATTTACAAACACACACACCACACACACACACACACACACACACACACACACACACACACACACGGGTACAGGTACACAGTATTGCTAGCAAAGTCTATCAATGTCAACATACCCACTGTGAAGAGGTACTGTGGTTTAGAAAGGCATCACCTTTGGGGCAACTGAATAAATGTTACAAGATATTTCTTTATATTCATTCTTACTATTACATGTGAATTTATGAGGTTTTCCAATAAGAAGTTAAAGCAAGGAGTAGTCCTCATTTTCTATGTGTACATGTTCATTTGTATGTGTATTTGTACATGTATTTGTAGACAGGACTGAGCATAGAGACCTCAGTATGGACATCACTCAATGAAGCTCACTGGTGGGGATTGAAGGAGCAGAAATTCAGTGAGAGTATGGACAAAGACCACAAACACTGACTAACAAATACTATTCTTTAAAATGTTTGAATCTCTAGCAGTACTATTTGTAATAGCCAAAAACTGGAATCACCCTAGATGCCCTTCAACTGAAGAATGGATAGAGAAAATGTGGTACATTTACACAATGGAGTACTACTCAGAGGAAAAAAACAAAGGAATCTTGAAAGTTGCAGGGAAATGGATGTATCTAGAAGAAACCATTCTGAGCGAGGTAAACCAATCGCAAAAAGAAAAACATGGTATGTACTCACTCATATGTGAATTTTAGCCATAGAGTAAGGATTACCAGCCTACAATCCACACTGCCAAAGAAGCTAATAAACAAGGAGGTCCCTAAGAGAGACATACATGGTCCCCTGGAGAAGGGGAGAGGTTCAAGATCTGCTGAGCAAGTTGGGAACACC